TCGACTATGGGGACGAAGAACAGCCAGGGCGCAAAAAGACCAAGGCCGAGGTCATGAAAGAAGTCATTGCCAAGTCCAAGTTCTACAAAGCGGAACGGCAACAGGCCAAAGACGACGATGAAGACCTACGGGAAGCTCTGGATAAGGAACTTCCTGATCTTTTCGAGGCTCTGCGGGGCATCAAGCCTGCAGCCAAGGTAGCCAAGCCAGAGGCACCAAAGCAAGATTTCTCAGAGATGAACCCAGAGCGTGCTGCCATGCTGGAAGAGTCGCAAAACAGCAAGGATCCAGAGAAGGAATACGATCAGCGCCTCAGGCAAATGACGTTCGATCAGCGATCAAAACCCACGGATCGCACGAAGACCGAAGAGGAGAAGGTGGAGGAAGAGGCCGAGCGACTCAAGAAACTTGAGAACGACCGACTTCGACGTATGCGTGGAGAGCAGCTCACTGATGATGAGGAGGACAATATGGATCAGGACGAAATTCCCGAGGATGACGAGTCGGAAATTGACGATGCTATGCATTTCGGCCTTCCGACTTACCCCACTGAAACACGCCCTGAACTCGGTGTTGAAGATGAGGATGATTTCATCATCGACGAAGATCTGGTCGAGACAGATTCAAATGCCAGCCTCGATATGGGTGACAGTGACATGGAAGAGGAGGAGGAAGGTTCGTCGAGCGATGAGTCTGACGGGCCAGATGGGGAGGATGAGCACATCAACGGAATGACGCTACCGACAGAGGATTCCGCTGCCGCATCGACTGCTGTCGAAGTTAATAAGGAAACAAACGGAAAACTCGCATTCACGTATCCTTGTCCAAAGGACCACGAAAGCTTCCTGAGTATCACGAAGAACGTGCCTATCGAGGAAATCCCGACGGTCATCCAGCGCATTCGAGCATTGCATCATCCCCGGCTCAGGCCTGGCAACAAGGACAAGCTTGGCCGATTTGCTGAAGTTCTTGTTGAACATGTTTCTTACATGGGTAACAAGACTCAGCAGCCTCCATTTGCCATCCTGGAGAATATCATTCGTCACATCCATTCCTTGGCAAAGACCCATCCTTTGAATGTGACAATCGCATGCCGAGCGCAACTTCGTGAGATCGGCAAGGAACGCCCACTCAATCTGCTGCCCGGCGACCTTATCCTGCTTACCGGCCTCTCAACCTTCTTCCCCACATCAGATCACTTCCATACGACAGCCACACCCGCTCATCTCTGTCTGGCGCGATACCTGGGTCAGTGCACCACCACCTCGCTCGCAGACCTTGCCAGTGGTACATTTGCCGCAAGTCTTTGCCTCCAATATCAAAAGGCCTCCAAGAGATATATGCCCGAGTTTATTAACTACACTCTAAATGCCCTCTGCAATCTTGCTCCTACAGAGCCAACTGTCAAGTTCGGAGCTTTCCCCTACAGAAAGTCACAGGAATCTGTTCAACTCGTGTCCTCCAAGAAGGTCACACCTCGCAAGCTGCAATTCCGCGATGTAACCACTTCTCCTTCTGAACCTCAGGCGCAGGAGGAGCTTAAGATCTCCCTCCTCACTACCCTCGTCTCTCTCCTTGGTTCCGCTTCCGATATTTGGGCCGAGAAATCTGCTTTCACCGAGATCTTCACACCGGTCCGTGCTGTTCTGCACTACCTCCGCCAATCCCTCAAGGGCAAGGTATACGCGGCAGCCCGGGAGCCCATCCAGAGCACCCTAGACAAGATTGATTCCCACCTTGCACAGGCTCGTCTCGTTCGTCGCCCGCTGTTCCTGCACGACCACAAACCCCTGGCCATCAAGACAGCCATTCCGAAGTTCGAGGAGAATTTCAACCCAGACAAGCACTACGATCCCGACCGCGAGCGTGCCGAGTCCAACCGTCTCAAGAAGGAGTTCAAGCGCGAGCGCAAGGGCGCCATGCGCGAGCTCCGCAAGGACGCCAGCTTCGTTGCACGCGAGCAACTGCGCGAGAAGAAGGAGCGCGACTCCGAGTACGAGAAGAAGTACAAGCGTCTTGTTGCGGAGATTCAGAGCCAGGAGGGCCGTGCCGCCAACGAGTACGAGCGGGCGCGTGGCAGGCGATAATCTTGCTTTTTGCGATTTGCATTTCAACTTCCTGTTCCACGTCTGGTGGTCTTTTTTCTTCATATATCACACTTGGTTGTGCATCCTGTTGGGCTGGTATATACACATCTGGCGTAAGGCTGGGAATAAAAGTAAAGTTCATCAAGATCTACGATATCTACAAAATTCACTAGTCCTTTTTCTTTTTTCTTTTTTTTTAAGTAAAGAATTGACTAGTTCAAGGTTATTCGCTGTTTTATTTCCTTCTAAGGGGTATATATATATACTATATGCTACTGCTTCAAATCAAGACCAATGCTGGTCAAATATTTACATCGGTTTCTCTGTCCCTGTGGCACCGTCTCCATCCTAGTCTCGTTGGTTCGAATGAAGATCCGCTGATATCCATCACCACCTTGATCCCAAGTCTCCCATTTCGGGCTCGAAGGAAGCCGTTTGGTGTTCGGATCCAGAGACGTAATGAAGCTTGACCAGTAACCCTGCATCACAGGAACGATACCTGCGTTGGTGGTGTAGTACGAAGCTGGAGCTTTATTCCTGGTATTGGTCGGACCCCAAATCGCACTCACTTCGATGGTATGCGGTGTGCCCAATCCCGAGTGCTCGTGGTCGGGGTCCAGGACTGCGTAGTGGTAGTTCCAGCTTGGGACACCTGCCGCTGCGTAGATGGAAGACATGTCAATTCCGGGACATATGTAGCGAATTTCGCCGTATGCCGTGCTTGCCGGCCGCCAGTAGGACCCAGCGCCAGGGAATTCCTCCGTCTGGTTTGGAGTAAGATAGATACTGTTGATCCAGGCAAGATGGGCCTGTGTTATTGCTGGAAATTGGTTCTGGATGAACGTATCTGCGTCGTCAACACTCGAGGTACTCTTGGTAACGAATTTCGTGCCTTCATTGGTGTCATCGCCAAATATTACTGGCACCTTGATGAATTTGCCTTCATGGAAGAGGCGGTACGTGTAGTCCGGCACCAGGTCCTCGTCGATTGTGGGACCGTACATGTATAACGGCTTCCCTTTTGCTCCTGGGTTAGGTCTGTTGACGTTCTTCTCCTGCAAAGCACTAACATCGAGGTTGCGCAGACATGCCAGTGTGTTTTGGCTACTGTCACATGCAGTCGCAGTTACCAGGGCGTCGTATGCAAATTGACTTTCGGTAACGTTGAGCATTTGGGCAAAGCTTTGTGACTCTGCAGCAGCCCCAATAAACAGGCCTTCATCTCTTCCACCATACGCCGAGAGGATGAGAGTCACCGAGGCAGCACCTGCACTATCACCACCAATGACAACATGGTTGGGGTCTCCGCCAAACTAGAGACAGTGTCAAAACCCAAATATCAAACAACAAAGCCACACGAGAAGAACGAAGAATGACGACTTGACCTACCTTGCTGATATACTTCTGCACCCACTTCAGTGCCTTGCGTTGGTCTTTCAGACCATTGTTTAGGCTGGCCCCTTGTTCAACCTCTTCTCCGGCAAGAAATCCGTAAGGTCCAACCCGGTAGTTGAAAGTGACCACCACCATATTGTTTCCAGATGCCTTGATCAACCCAGTGCCGTTATAGTTGGCATTTGAATTGACTGCAAATCCTCCTCCTTGGATCCAAAAGAAGACAGGTAGTTTCTTTGCACCTTTTACTGCAGCTGGGGGAGCATATATATCAAGGAAGAGACAGTCCTCTGAAGTTCCTTGTGGGACTGGCCGGCCTTCACTTGCTACCGTGGGGATACATATACTTCCATGCTAGTAGTGAATAGTCAGTGGCTACCTATGAAGAACTGAAGACAATAGGTGCATACCTTAGTTGCTTGCTGTATTCCCTCGACCGACAAGGGATCCTGCGGGGCAGCAAATCGCAGATCTCCTACAGGAGGAGCAGCAAACCGCATACCAAGCCACTGTGTGACTCCGGAGTGGGTATGACCCTCATACCTAGCATAGCCCAAATCTACCACTGTAGAAGCTGATGCTAGGGATATCAAAGTACAGATAGCAAAGAACTTAGCCATGATGACTGACAGTCTGATTGTGAACCGGTCGATGCCATGGTTTATAAAGGGCCCCACGGGCATAAAAGAAAAGCCGACCGTTGTCCATCGAAGTCACGGTGACAACGCACAGCACTCGGCTATCGGAAGTTAATACGAGGACAAAGCCCTTGCGCCACTGTTGCTTCCTTGAGATATGCATACTCGACGCTTGCGGGGATGTGTCACATGTGCAGCAAGGGAGCTGTTCGGGGAAGCACAGTGTCCATAAAAGACATGATACATGGGGTTTTCTAGCAGTCAGCAGACTAGTCGGTCCCAGAAGTAGGTGATAGGCACAAGATTCCGTAATTTCGGTGTTCTTGGAAGTTATTTTGCTACCAAAGCAACTCTCTAGTCAGATACACTCCACACCACAGACTTTCTAGGGTAAGAGGGACCGTGAGACATTGAAAGACATCTGAAACCATTCAATCTAGGGGTCTAAACAAAGAGGGATAAGTTCTAGAGGGGGTGGTCCTCACAGATACCTAGATACTCTATATAGCTTCTTTGTTTATGTTACACCATCTAGGTTCTTTTTTGTTCGATCTTCTACATTTATTCCTCAAATAAGATAGTAAAGAAATGATTCTAAATGTAATCTATTCTATACCAAAAAGCGAGAAAAAATAGAGCATATAGTAGTATTTACAAGGGTAAAAATGGTAAAAAATGGACGAAATGGACGAAATGTACCCAAGTGTACCCAATGTACATCAAGAGCCCCAATGAATTGCCGAGAGCCCCACTCCCCCGCAAAACCAAAAGCCCAGAGCCCAAAGCGTTTTCTTTCCGCCTGCGGATCTGCCTCTCTCTCTCTCCCGTCTCTCGTTTTCACTTACTTCGGCTTCTAGACCATACCTCAACCCTTGGCATAATGGCTTCAGAAGATGAAGATGACTATATGAATATGGTCATTGAGGAACCCACTCAAAAGGAGACCTTCACCCAAAAAAAGCGCCGCGAACTACGAGAGGTACCGTATCCTCCACATTCTAAACTTAACACCATATCTGTCTCCGGCTAAATGCCAACCCAATTCTAACATTCTTTTCCATTTGCAGGCCGAAGCCCGAGGTCGAGTCCCATCCAAAGCCGAACGCGCCGCTCGGGAAGCCGCCCGCCGAGAGGAAGCCTTGGCCACAAGCACCCTCAACCCAACCAACAAAGGATTCCAAATGATGGCAAAGCTTGGGTTCAAGCCTGGTGGGGTACTAGGCAAACCTGCTACCAATCACTCTGACACTACCAACACTACCGATTTCCTAAAATCACGCGCTGAACCGCTAAACCTAACCTTGAAAGAAAACCGCGGTGGAATCGGGTTGGACACGGAGAAAAAGCGCAAGCTCCGTGAGGAAGCAGAAGAAGCAGCAAAGAGAATCAAACATGAAGAGGGAAGTTACCGAGATCGCGTTCGTGAAGAGCGCGAGTTGAAACGCATCGAAGCACAGGTGCGCGCGGCGCAGAAAGTTGCAGAGAGGCTGGATGGGGAATCGGAGAGTGGGGCTACCGCCGACGAAGAGAAAGAACAAGGAATAGGGTCCTCAGCCAAGTCCAACAAAGAAGAAGAAGGTGACTCCACAGATCCTAGTCAAGCACGCGACGGGCGCGACGTCCCCACGACAAAGAAGCAGCCAATCAAGCTCACATCCCAAATCAATGTCCTCTACCGCGGTCTTATCCGTGAGCGCGAACGGAACGATAGTGACCGCCAGGCACGCCATGCTCTCCACTCCTCACTTCCTTCATCCTTTTTCCCCAAACTACGACTACCAGAATACGACGACCCGACTATGGACCGGGAGGATAAAAAGGCCCTTGACCGTGAACTGGACAGTGAACTGGATCAGAATACCTCCACACTGGAGATAGAGTTGGAAGAAGACGATGAGGAGCTCGATGCCTTCAATGCGCTAGAGCCAGCTGAGCGGCTACGCAAGGTGGTCCTCTTTCTGCGCGAGAAATATCGGTATTGCTTCTGGTGCAAATATGCCTACGAAACCGATCTTGAGTTGGAAGGGTGTCCTGGCCTGACCGAGGAAGATCACGATTGATCTATCAGAGCCGTTTGTATTGTATTGTATGGGTATCCTCTTGACACAGCAATGAGCTGACGGTTTGGTATCATACCCAGCACATAGCCCAACCTTTTATGGAAAGGTTTGTATCTCTACGAAATGTTACATTTTATGTCACAAATGCCAAAAAAGAGTATTCATTATAAATATGCAGCTTCAGTCCATCTTGTTAAACCATAATATACACGAGATCCTTGGTATCATAAAAAAAAAAAAAAAGGTATATAGATAAGAAGAGAAAGAAAAGAAAGAAAACATAACTAACAGCCTTGACAGGACTTGTACTTCCTGCGCAGGAGATTATACAATATGTGCTGGGATCATGCAATATATGCTCTCAAGATCATTTATACCAACGCACCCGATATGTCAAGGATACCAACAAATTATACGAGTTGATCAACCAACTCCTCGACCGATCGATTCTTAGATTTCTGCAGGATCTCGTAACACGACACGCAGATGCGCAAGCAGCAGAACACACAGCGATGCCGTATCTCAATGTCAAATTTCTGACAGGTCATACACGGCATCGGACACCAAGTATTCTGCGCCACGGGCATAGCGCGGTGCTGCTGGTAGCATGTGAGATGGATCTCATTCAACTTCGGCGCCACGGGCTCAACATCCGGAGGGACGAAGGGTGAGGGGGCCAGTTCCTCGCGCGGCAGTTCTGGCACTGCTAGTGGCGGTTCGGCGCTGTCTGGGGTCGGGATGAAGTCTTCCGGCAAGGGGGAGTTGGCCTCGTCGGCAGGAGCTGGAGCTGGAGCTGGAGCCTGGACTAGGGTCGGGACTTGAGGGGGAGAGTATGTCACTGGGGTTGGCTGTTGTTGAGGCGCGTGGAAATCAGGTTGTGATTTCTTGGTTCGCATACCTGTCATCCGAGGAGGAGGAGACTGCGCTGGGACGGGGACCCGTTCAATTGGGCGTCGTTCTGGGATTGCATTTCCGGGGATTGGAGGGAAGTATGGGTTGTTGGAGACTGGAATGTCCACTTTGGGGGGAACTGGTAGTTCCTTGTCCGGCGGAGGGGCCGGCTTTGGTGGTGGAGGGGCAGGAAAGTCTGCCGGTTTGGGTAAGGATGACTCGGACGGCAAGTCAGATGGTAAGTCGGATTTCTTTTGGAAAGAGAATTGCGATTTCGTTGCTGAAGACTTCAGTGCTGCAAGCGAGGGCACACGAAGGCCGCGAGGGCGCTTCTCCGAGTCGAAGATTGCCATATTCCGTCAATTTGTGTGTTATCTGACACCAGTTCGAATATATGAAATAGATCAAGCCTTTTAAAGAAGGGAGACCAAGTAATTTAAGGAGAGAAAAATAGGAAAAATAGGGAAAAATAGGGAAAAAAAGGGGAAAAAAAGGGAAAAAAAAAGGGAAAATGAAGGGGAAAAAAATAATAATCGAGTTTCTAAGAATCCACTCGATAATTAGCCAATTGTTAGGATCGTCAAATGCCTATTAAACCACATTCCACCTTGAACTACTCGAATCTATTGGTTATCCATGCAATCTACCCTGTTTCAGATAGTGGGGATTGGATCGGTCTGAAAGCGCTAAGATCTATCGACTAACTCCCGTACTCCGATTATACGAGATAAAGCGGTGTTTATATATTACCCCTGAAATACTTTGTACATCTCTTATATGCTCATTCCTACTTATCATCTCGAGATCCAATGATTCCTGGATCCATCATATGTCGATCTCCAATTCTCAATGTCATCATTTCTATCTTTCTTTTGTTTTTAGGCACTTTGCTTATATTTCAGTAAAATATTTCAAATTCATTATTTAGGAATCGGGTTCAGCAACGGGTATATACGACCTGCGTTCTCGAGCAGCCTAAACCGGTTAGTACGTTGTCCACAAAGATCTATCCAACTGGCGGCCTACCTCGACATATCGCTCAATCCATGGCTTGCAAGCAGCCCAAGCCAGCAGTCCACCTGTAGCAAAAATGAAAATAAACACTACCGCCTCGTCTTTCCGTGAATCTCGCTCTAATATGGTAAGACCCCGTCAGCACATCTCTTATCACATCCAATTCGGTTCTCGCCTGGTCCATGGGTCCGACAAATCACTTACGGAAGCAAGTCGTGTACACATCTTCCTCCTTGGCGCCTTTGCATGTCGGTAGCTCGTAGTCAAGACAGAACTTGCGGTTGCAGTCATTACAGCTCAGGGATCGGTATTTCTGAGCTCGTTTGAGGTATTCATCGGCATGCTCAATCTCAGAGCTGAGAGAGTCGCGCTCGTAAAAGCGGACGTGGTCGATGCCGGAGGAGGTTTCAGACTTGGCCGGGTTGAGGGGGATGATCGTACTATTGGAGAAACAGGTGCATTTGCAGAACGAAGTTGGTGCTGTAGGCATTGAGTATTAGTATCACATAAATATCGGCACAAAGATGGTAGCCATTTGATCTCCCACTGGGCGCATTGAGGTGTCGGAGAAGAGAGGCGAGCACTTACTGGATGCTGCTACCAATGATGTGACAGACAAAAATGTAAATAGTAGCAGCAGCAGCTGTATGCTACGCTGTGAGGACCAGGTAGGAGACATCCTGAGCACGCAGTGGACGATGCGACAAGTCCTGGTTGGACTGGGTTTAATGACGATGGATGGTCACATGACTGCGTACGCAATCCAACAAACACCAGCCCTGGAGCGGCGAAAGATGTCTGGATGTTCATATATATTTACGTTTATATTTGATCAAGCTTGTAAAGGAACTTAAGTATAAATTACATAGTATTTGTGTCGTTGGAAGGCTACTGGCAGCCTCGTTATGTATAAGTACCACATCAGAGTCTAGATAAACATCACTCAACTTCTCAGAAAACTCTCGGATTTTTCGAATCTATGACTTTCCCTTGATTCCCTTCTTCCGGTTGTCTCTCTGTCTCTGCTCCTTGGCAGCATCACGTCGCCTCTTCTTCCAGGCGCGATTGTTGTCACCGCGATTTTCCCAGAACCACTTTGCGAATTCGGTTTCTTCCATGTTTGCACCGGCTTTCGCGCGGACAGGACTATCGATCGAAACATCCTCATCATCCGAGTCCTCACTCTCATTCCACGTCATGTGCCGGGTGGCCGCAGTAGTGTCGGGAGTGGGAGCTGCACTGCGCTGGCCTCGGTTTTGTAGGTCGTTCTTTGTGAAGGGTGTGAAAGGTGTCTGCGGCTCAGCCATTTGAGGCTCGTCCTCGGATTCAATGTCATTGCCAAAGAAGCTGAATCCAGCCTCGGCCTCGGGAACTGGCTGGTTATCGGATGCTGTCGGGGCGGCCCGCTTGAAAAGAGCCTCAAGGGGGTGAACCTCCTTCGCAGATGAATTTTGTTCAACCCCTTGCGCAGCCTCCGTGGGTATCACATCTGAGACCGGCTGGCTCGGTGTATCGGCATCACCGTCGTTAGCCTCTGTAGTCTTGGTGGTCTCTTCTTGGGATTGCGGCTTGACATCATCTTCGTCAGAAGATGCAGATGAATATTCAGGGTTCTCATCGACTTTGCTCTCATCCACCTCGCTCTCCGATTCACTGCCTTCGTCTGACGATGAGCCACTTGACGAGGTATAATCTTCAGACTCGGATGATTCATCTGGAGTCTTTTCTTTGCGTGAAAGCTTTTTCGTGTCTTTGGCGGCCAATTTGGCAGCTCGACGCTTCTCCTTGGCTCCTGGAATCTGACCAGGCCGATAATTGTCCTTCGAGATTTTTTCGCTGGCAGGTTCTCTCAGGTTCCCTGTGGAATCTACCCAGCCTTTTCCATCTTCAAATGTAGCCGTAGGCGCTGCGCTTTCCTCCGCGGTGCGCAGAAAGCTTGGCTGGGTCACCGTCTTCTCAAATTCATGGATGACATCATCCTTTGACTTCTTCTTCTTCTTTGCTTTCTTATCGTCGGAAGTTGCGTCGGATGCTCGGTTGGGTGGGATCGTTGCTCGGAACAGACATTCCGATTTGTCGGTGTACTTGGACTTGGATTGCAATTTCTCTTCCTTGCTCTTCTTCTCTTTCTTCTCCGACTTTCGTCTTTCCTGCTTGGCATCACTAGACTCGGTCCAGCCTCGTTTCACTTTGCGGTCTGCGGGAAGCTCAAAGCCTTCCACTACACCGTCCTCGGGCGTTTCCTTCTTGGACTTCTTGGACTTCTTCTTGGCACTAGAGGGGGCTTCAGGCACCACATCCTCTTCCTCCCGGTGTCTCTTTTGAGGGCGGGCGGCCTCGACTTTGAACTTCTTGCCCTTGAGGATGGAGCCGTTCAACTTCTTCTTGATCTTCTCGGCTTCCATGTTTGGCAGAGTCACGTATCCGTAGTTATTCTCGGGGAAGGTGGAAATCTCGTGGAAAGATATTTCTGTGGCCAAGTTGCGAATAGATGCTGGCAGCACAGACGGAAGGATATCCTGGGTGAAAGGCGTGATATATAGTCTTGTTGTTTCAGTCATTGCCAGAGGATGCTTGATAGTTGAGAAAGACTAGGGTTATCACTAATGCATGATCTGTGGAGGATGTCAAAGTTACAAGGTAAATTGGGAAAAGATTCCAAAGCCTCAACACCGCTCTTCGAATCTTTTTTTTTTTGGGGCAAAAATAATGTACAGACTGATTTTATGCCACCGCCTTTTTAAGGGTATGTGTTTATTGGCTGAGATGGTTCCGAGGTTGGAAAGCACATTCTGGCCTTAGATATTGGCCTTATTGGCCCGAATTGGCTATTTCTGCCTGAATTCTCTACAACATAGTTACCTAACTTAATGACTTCACCTTCCAATTCCAACACATAGTTAATTAGGTAATCTTTCAGATCTGCAAAGTGCAGCATCTTAGGGCCTATGATGTATACATCGCATTAAAGGTGGAAGAGGAGTGTTCTTTGTAATCTGCCCATGACTTTACGATGACGATGGATCAACTGATGGTCCTGGGTGAGTAGTAAAAAGCTTGCTATTTACCTAGATAACCTGTTTATACGTTGATATACATTGATATACATTAATATAGTAGATAATTACATGTATATCTCATATCCACGTGTGCTTGTTTATATAGTTATCTAGTTATATATATATGACTATGGTACATGTAATTCATATAGTCTAGACCTTTAAAATGAGACAAACAAGTAACTATAGCCCACTTATGAAATAAAATAAGAAAATAAGACAACATCCGCCACATCCGATATTTTCTATCTTTCTTCTTTTTTTTTATAATTTTGAATCTGAAAACACCTTTGAATCTGTAACTTGTGCTTGGGGGTTCCTTACCGATCTCACTTCCCCAGTTACTCCGGACAGATCACAACCCCCCCCCCCGCTCTGAGAGTTACTCCTCTTACCTCCACTCTACTATTAGCCTTCCAACTTTCTGGCCTTATCCTTTTCTCCTTTACCCTCCCCCCTTCTACTGCCCACCAATAAAAACCCCCCTTGGGGGCCTTTTCCGCCATATCCGATTCGGATCACCGTGACTGTGAATTAATTTCTTCCCCTCACATCCTCACATCCTCACATCTATCTGGGCTCCAAAATGGGAAACTCCCAAACCAAGGAGTCGCGCTCCACAGCCCCGTCCAGTCGTCGGAGTCAATTATCCCCGGGCGCTTCCGATGCCTCAAGTCGACCGTATCATGGTTCCCGGTCTGCAAGAGGCAGTAGACCTGACCTTTCGATTCTTGGAATCGGCAGTCATGATCGAGAGGTGGCCACATTAGAACATCGGCGGGAGACAAAGCAAGAGCGCGAGGCCCGCCGCTTGGAGAAGGAGCGGGTGGCGCGTCTCAAAGAGAGGGAGCGTAGTATGAAGGAGGAGCATGTCGATGGAGGTTATCTCGTGACACAAGGCGTGTATGTGGGGACGGAAGACTACAATAAGGTAGTGGTGCGCCAGCTGATGGTATGTTTGTCTGAAATAACCCCTCGATGCGAACTAGCCAAGGCTGACAGCAGGGTTAGATCGAACGCCGACTAGCTCCCTTCTGGAGAGGTCTTAATGACTTCTCGGAGTCGTGGGCTGAGCATCAGATTATGGCGGCTGCACGAGGGATGCCCATTCCCCAGCCCGACGAAATCCCGCCCGAGTTAGAGTACAAACTGTCCAAGATCCCGGACAAAGCCTCCGCCGATTCAACAAATATCCAGCATCTCACAGTGCCGATCACGTCCAGATCGCAATCTTATAATTCAGATGCTTCGCAGTCCTCCAACCCCCCTCAATCATTACCCTCCGCATCTCCGATCGCATCCGGGACATCCACCTCCCCTCTTTTCCGAACAAGGGCAAAGACCTTGGCCGCTTTAACTACCTCCAAGCATAACTCACAGACAGATCTAACGCCCCGGGAACTGCAGCTTCCCAAGGACCCATTTGTCAACGGACAGCCGATCGAAGTCAATTTGTACAAAGACGCAAGCGAATGTCCTATCTGTTTCCTCTACTATCCGCCGTACTTAAATCGTACCCGATGCTGCGATCAACCTATTTGCTCCGAGTGCTTCGTGCAGATCAAGCGCCCGGACCCGCACACCCCAGAACATGGAGAGCCTAGCGCGAATGCGCCTTCCCCCGAGGGAGAGCAGACGGAGTCGACCGAGTCACAGTTAGTCTCTGAGCCCTCGGCATGCCCCTTCTGTGTCCAGCCCGAGTTCGGAGTCACCTACGCACCGCCCTCGTTTCGCCGGGGCCTGACTTATGCTGCAGACCCCAGTGCCCGGCTCTCCCCTAACTTCACTTCCCCCGTATCCTCCACCTCCTCCTTATCATCTGCCAATGCCGCCGTGCCAGGTCGCCGCCGTGCGACCTCACTATCGGCCACTGACCCCACAGTGGTTACAACCGATAGGATTCGACCGGACTGGGCGACCAAATTATCGAATGCACGAGCCCACGCGGCACGTCGATCTGCGGCAGCGACTGCCCTTCACACTGCGGCGTATTTGATCAACCCCAGTACATCTGGGAGTGACTCGCGTGGGTTTGGCATCGGACGGCGCGGAATGCGAAGAGCCACCGGCGGAGAAGGGTATAGCGGCCGGACCGCTTCACCCGCCCTCAATGCGTTGGCTTTCTTGACGGAGCGTACGGGTGCTGATCGGACGCCTCGAGCAACTGGACAAGACACCGATTCTGCTTCTGCCGAGGAAAGTGCGGGTAACCCGGCTGCTGGTCGATCAAGCTCAAGGCGCAATCGAATTGACGATCTCGAGGAAATGATGATGATGGAAGCTATCCGACTGAGCTTGGCCAGCGAAGACGAACGCCTCAAACGGGAGGAGAAAGAGGCAAGGAAGGAGGCCAAAAAGAGGGAGAAGGAGAAGGAGAAAGAGGCCAAGAAGGCGGATAAGGTAGCTCGCAAGACTGGCTTGTATAGCAATAATGCTAGCGCCTCCGCTTTGGATATCCTTGGCGAATCAAATTTAGGCAAGGGGAGTAGCTCATCCTCTGTCAGAGGCGAGGATGTCATTGGTGAAGAAATCGCTGCTGGTAGCAAAGGCAAGGGAGTTGACCGCACACTGCCATCGACTGCAGAAGAAACGAACCGCCCCACGCTGCTTGATCCAGCAGCACCAGCAAACCAGTCTGTGGATCAGTCCGAGCCGTCACGACAATCTCACCTGCGACAGGTCTCCAGTGCTTCTTCATCGTTCTCTTCTGTCATGGAAAACACCCCAGAGGATGGTGCAAGCGGTTCCGCCGCTGGAGAGGGCAACACCAACCCTCTTGAGCCAATGTTCAATTTCCGCAGTCTAGCTGCCGTGATTGGAGATGAGGAGAAAGTGGATGACTCTGCGGAACACGTTGAGGATACCTCCAACAAGCCACAAACAGAGGGCTCTTCCTCAAGTGCCACTCCGTCGGTCCACCAGCCTTTCACTGAGGTGAACCCTGGATCGGCGCCTATCGTTGAGTCTTGTGAGGAGCCTCACGGTCCTTCTGATACCCTTCCCAAGGAACTTGAGACTCGCTCTGTCGAGATCACTAGTTCCCCCACGCATCCGGAAGCTACTTTGTGAAACCTTTGATTTTGTTTCTTTTTGCTGTTTCTTTTTCTCCAGTCTGGCTTTGTTTGGTATCTAGATACAATCCGGACCGCTTGGCATGTGTGGGTTAGCCGGCGCAGGGGATTGGTCACTGGTGAAGGCATCTCTGCTTATCTTTTTCTATGCTCATTGTTTTTTTTTTTTCTTTCCCCACCTTTTCTGTCACATCGGGCCTTCCATATCATCATTTCTTACTTTCTGGTCAATGATAGAAATTCTTTGTGTTTAGCATTCAGATCGGTGAATAGTGAGATTTCTGATTTCTTCAAACTATCTACGCAAGGAAGGCAATGGGTCGGTACATACAGCTATGGCAACTATATACATGTCCGTAAGTACATACTATATATGATCTTGAATAGTTGGCCGCTAATGTAGCTTCCTTGACGATGTATTTTAGCAATCTGATCCATATGGCTTAAAATGATGTAAGGGACGATATATCCAATCATCCTTCTACAATATATTTTGAATATATTTTTGGGATGTTTTTCCATTTCTAAACTTGCAAAACAAAGAAGTACATATGCGGCTGATCTGCGGGTCCAACTCAAATTACGCTACGAGTTGTGATTGGTTGAGAAGGGGTTAAGAATGCAGAGCGGGGAAAACCTTGGAAGACTCCATTGTTGTTTATTTATCTCACATCGTAAATAACATTATTATATGTTTATTATATCCTGTCATGTTGTAATATGTTATTAACCTGATAGCCAGCTATTATTGAACGATATCCTCGACCGTTACCGAGATACCCGAACAAATTCTGGTTCGCCACCCAAAGAGAGTTTTCTTTTTTTTTTTTTTTTTACATCACGTGGAAAGAAGTATTAAATTACATGTACAAAATAAGATTCTCAAAAGTTAAGATCTATATTCATTTATATGGCTGTTTATGTGGTTGTTTATAAAGTATTAAGAATCCTAAATTGCTTTAGGTAGGGATCAGGGTCAGATGTTGTCCGTTCTCGGCGGTGGAAAATAAAGTCTCTTACCGAGGTTCTCTCTCCCTCTCCGAACTTTCAACCTCACCCCTTCTTCCACCTTGTCCTTGGTTTATACTCTCAAGAAAATACAGGAGTTGACAGTCTTGAGATAATACAAAAAGAAAGCAAGAAAGGAAGAAGCCAGACCTTCCGCTCCGCTCACAAGGTACGAGCAGTGCGGTGGATAACAAGATCAATTCGATACTACCGGGGTGGATTGCCGTAAGATCTTAACAGCTTCTGAGGAACTATGATATTGACACCACAGGAAAGATCTCATCCGTCGCCTGACAGCTTTCCAACAGCACAGCTTTTCCTCCTAGGTATGTTATGTTCCGGGCTCGTACTTGGCAATGACTAACACAACAACAGCAATATGCCGTGTTGCAGAGCCCATTGCCTTGACTTCTATCTTCCCCTATTCGTGGGTGATGGTCAGGGACTTCCACATGGATAATGGCAACAATGCCTCCTTCTATGCCGGTATTCTGATTTCAGCATTCTCGCTCGCCGAGGCTCTGACCGGTATGTTCTGGGGTGCTCTTTCAGACCGCGTGGGCCGGAAGCCCATCCTTATATCTGGCTGCGTGGGGACTATGGCCTCTTTGATCCTGGTAGGGATAGCCCCGAACTTCTGGGTCGCGCTCGCCGGTCGCGCTCTTGGTGGAGCCTTGAATGGGAATATTGGAGTAATTCAGACAATGGTTGGTGAGCTTATCAGGCGACCTGAGCATGAACGTGAGTCTATCGCCATTCTGTCAAATCTAGCGGAGTTGGGAGGCTAATCTTGCATACAGCTCGAGCGTATGCCGTCATGCCTTTTGTTTGGTCAATTGGAACGATTATCGGCCCAGGTATGTATAGTCTTCGTTTTTCCATGATTGAATTCTACTGCAAATGCTAATTCCATTCAGCTATTGGGGGCTTGCTAGCAAAGCCCGCTGAAGGGTTTCCCTCCCTGTTCCCAGCCGATGGCCTCTTTGGCAAATTTCCTTACCTTTTGCCCAACCTCGTGTGCTGTGTCTTACTTCTCCTTAGCATTATCGGCAGCTGGCTGTTCCTGCAAGAGACTCATCCAGACATACAACCTAGCGAGGCCTATGGACATTTCGTCCAAGCAGCTGAGCAGCCGCTTCTGGTTACATCTGGCGCAACTGCCAATGCTGGCGTGGACCTGCGAGCGGAGTCTTACGGGACGTTTAATCGGGTTCACTTGCATAATGATGAGAATTGGAGTGTGCAAGCCGATGGCTCCTCGCCTACGTGGAAGAAGTTACCAAAGCCCAACGCTTTCACCTGGCGAGTCAGTATGCTTATAGTTGCGTTGGCTATCTTCACTTATCACTCGATGACATATGACCATCTCTTGCCCATCTTCTTGCAGGATAAGGACCCGGGAGGATCGTCACATCCGCATCACCCACCCTTTGACATTCCGGGCGGAGTCGGTCTTTCCACTCGAACTGTGGGTGTGATCATGTCCACCGATGGTATCATCGCCCTCGTGATCCAAAGTATCATTTTCCCCATGCTGGCACATTACCTGGGAATCTGGCGGCTCTTTGTCATCGTTACAGTGCTCCATCCAATCGCATACTTTATGGTTCCCTTCCTGGTCTTCTTGCCACGCCAGCTCATCTATGTCGGTATTTATGCTTGTTTGATCGTTCGCAATATTCTGTCCATTATCGACTATCCTATTCTCTTGATTCTCATCAAGCAAGCTAGCCCCTCAGACTCCGTCATGGGAAAAATCAATGGCCTCGCTGCTTCCGCTGGGGCCGCATCTCGAACTCTTGCTCCTCCGATTGCCGGCTTGCTTTACAGCTCTGGGGCTGAGATTGGCTGCACTGCTCTTGCCTGGTGGGGGAGTAGTCTCGTTGCGTTTATCGGCGCTCTACAGCTGTGGTTCCTCCAGCGCGATAAACGCTCATCAGTAACCGTGGAGCCAGCAGCCGTTTGTCATTATGTTGCCCTTCCAGTGCAGTCGCACGACGACATCGTTCATATCATTGTCAATGGAGATGATGCGTACACATAAGGGGCAATAGTGTCTGATTAGGAAACAAAGGGCGACTGGGGGATTTTTTATATATATATCTAGAGTTCTAAACTCATATAATCATAAATATTATAATATGATCAACAAAGGCATTGGGCATTGTTCTCTCTTATAGGATGCTCCACCTCATCCAAGTGTAGAAAGAGATACAGAAGAACATCTAGAAAGACATGAAAAGATATGTACGAAGACACCTAAGAATGCATGTAGAAAGACGTCCAAAGGTGATATTTTGCATAAAACATCACTAGTAACATGAGTCAAATGTATCAGATAACTGAACTACGTCGTCAACGACAGGTTATTGCGTTGTATAGTCCGAGGCTCCGATTAGATAGTTTGGATGCACCTTTCCCAGTTAGGCCTAGTTTTGTTTACCCAGCAACGTCAACACGGCAACTCTTTTTGTATACACAAACTCTGCCTTGCTCTGCTTTCTTTCTGTCCAACTGAACTGGCTCTGAAAATAGCCCAGAGACGACTTTTTACGACTAGCCCTTTCCCCTCCCTTTCCCCAGGGGTGCTCTTGCTTTCATAATGTCAAATCCACTCTCGCCCCTCTCATCTTCCTATCAGAACGCACGCGCACAATCTCAAATGGCGAATTCTTCGCCCTTTCTCCACAAGACCTTTGACCAGTCCTCAGAACATGTTGCCCCTTCAAGTCCATTGAAGAAAGGATGGACAAGCCACGCCACGCCGAGCCCGAAAGCCTATGATGAAAACGAAGCCCACTACCCTAACGAACCCGATAACGAGTATGAACACGAGAATGACGATTTCAATGATGCCGACTCATATCAACACGGTGCCAGTTCACCGTTCCAGTTTGATGGACGCGAAGATACCGTGGATTTCCAGAAGCTGCACGAGATGCGACAGACCTCGTCCCAATCACACCAACAACTTGAACCGCTAGAGGAGGAGAGCCCTGTAAGCTCTCCATTCCGACCACATGCAACAGAGGATACAGGTGATTTCCGAGGGTTGCGTGAAGTGCAGCCCATGTCACCTGGCTTGGACAAGCGGCTGGCTCTAGAGGAGCCAATGAGCTCTCCCTTCCGCCCTAACGCCAGTGAAGATACAGTGGATTTCCAAAATATGCACGAAGAGCAACAGTCGTCTCCTCTGCCATACCCACAACTTGAGCCACTAGAGGAGGAGAGCCCCGGAAGTTCCCCGTTCCGACCTCATGTCCGAGAAGAGACAGTGGGTTTTCAAAAACTGCGCGAGGTCCAGCCCATGTCTCCTGGATTGGGAAGGCGGCTAGCTCTAGAGAGGATCCCGCGAGCTCCCCGTTCCGCCCTGATGCGCGGGAAGAGACGGCCGACTTTGATCGCTTGTGCGAAATGCAGAATGACTCGCCAATTCCTAAATCGCGGCCATTGCCCGATCCCGCTAGTTCACCTTTCCACCATGAGGCAAGAAACATAACAGCCGATCCATCGGAACTAGATGATATGCAACAAGATTCCCCGATGGTGTCTAAGGATTCTTCGCCTATTGTGGTACCGAACTCGCCCATCGGCCCTGAAATACTAGAGCCGGCGGCTGATTCACCGAAGCTGCGCGAGTTGAAACAAGACTCACCGGTGGCATCTAAGCGTTCATCCTTTGCTGCGGAATCGAGCTTGCCCGTCCGCGGCGAAGCAGCAGAGGCAATTGATTCTCCCAAGGTACATGCACATGCAGAGTCACCAGTAGCATCCAACTCCTCTTCCCCTATTCCAGTACCTACTTCGTCCTTCCGGCCGAGTCCCAAGGAAAGCACCCTCGATCTTCATAAGTCGCGCCGGATTTCTCGTGCACCACTTGGGGTGAGTGACCAGCGCTCGGTTGCTGCAACTCCCCGCAAAAGATCATATGACCAAACACCCCAGGATCTGGAGGACGATTTACAGATGCACGAGCGCCATAAGAAGGGTATGGTGAGTCGACCGGATGCACCAGCGATTCACATCGATGCCGCAGAGGAGCCGACTGTACTCCATGACCAGAGCGTCCTCTCTGCTACAAGTGCCGTGCACGACCGATCAGCAATTGGCAACAGCATGATAGAGGACAGGCACAATGAAGGGATGAGCACAGTACTTCATGAAGATGGCGACAAAGAGAATATCTCACACGAGAATTCGATGGTCGACGACTCAATGGATGACACTTGCTTGAGTACATTCTCCGCCATGCCTGATATGACTACATTTGCAAAGCTTCGCGCCCAGTCGCCGATGAAATCAATGCGAGACAGTGTCGCCCCCAGCCCAGCTCCCACTAGGGACGGGCATCGACACAGTGTCGATCCAACAACCCCAGACACAGGGCGCAGGGGATACAGAGCGGGTGTCTATCTAGATGGAAATTTGCCGATGGGATCGCCTACACCGAGACCCAGAGGCCCTCGGGACATGGCTCATCCAGTTGACTCTACCAATCCGCTTGACTTGTCCGATCAAATGAACTTCTTCCCTCGTCAGTCCATGCAAAGTACGCGTTTCTCCCCCTCGCGGCGTTCGCCTATACGATCTGCCCGGCAATCCATTCGATCTCCCGGGAAGATGTCGTCACTGCTGGACTTTGATATTCCGGCTGCACCTACCCCTCGATCCATTCCCACGGTTACTCCCCGTGAATTGGAGTCACTGAAGTCCGGCTTTTTGTCTGACATATCTTCGCTCAAGGCTACTCTCAGTGGCAAAGAGGCCGAGGTAGCCAGCCTAAAGCAAGCAGTGGCAGATGCGGAGAGACGAGTTGGCGAAGCGCTGGAAGAAGTGCGCAACGAAGCCGCCGGCAAAGAGGTGCTGGAGATGGAACAGGCCGAGTGGGAACGCCGAGTCAATGAGATGGAAACTGTTCTGCGGTCTGCCCGCTCCGAACTACTGGAGGGAGAGCGCGAGCGTGACCGTCTGTCCCGAAGGGCGGAAGAGGCCGAAAAAATCAAGGAAACTTTGGAAGGCAAAGTTGTCGAGCTCGAAAGCCAGCTTTCTGCTGCACGTGCTGCAGCTGTGTCTAACACTAGTAAAGCTAGCTCATCTCACCAGTCTTCCAACTCCGCTGAAGATACTGCTCGCGAAGTTCAGGATGCCGTGGAAAAGGTCGCTCGTGAGCTTCACGTGCTCTACAAGGGCAAGCATGAGACCAAGGTTGCGGCCTTAAAAAAGAGCTACGAATCTCGCTGGGAGAAGCGTTTGCGTGAAGCGGAGAAGAAGCTCACTGCTGCACGCGAGGAGAATGAACATCTCCGTGTCGAACGTGATACTGCGAAATCCGATTCAATGGGCGCGGCTAACAACAGTTACTTCGCTCGTGAGAATGACGAGCACGAGGTCGAAAGGCGTGTCATGGATGCCCAGATCAAGGGTCTGCAGCGAGAAATGGCTGCTCTGAAGGACGATACCGAGCGTATTCGTGCAAACCTGGAGTCTGAACGCGCTGAGAAGGGCGAGCTTGTTGCCGCTGTTGACGAGTGGCTAGCCATGCAGCAGGCGCCCGCCCCATCTCAGCCTCGAGGCCGCGAGCCCTCTGTGGCATCCTCTGTGCACAATGACCACATTGATGAACCAGCTCAGCCATCTCGCGAAGTCACCCCTGATGACTTCCGTCGCAGTGTCAGCCGTTCTATGTCTGGAAGCATCCGTCCTCCTGCCACTACGGAAAAGAGGATCCCTAGATTCGGAGCTCCCGGGGGTCATTCTCGTGGTAATAGCGGTGGCAGATCTGGCATTGCAATGCCTACTCCCGGCCGAGGCGGGATCATGAGTTCAATTGAGCGGATGGGCCGTGGTGGTGTTTAGGGGGTTTATGGATTTTACTTGGATACTTGTTTTGCTTTCTTTTTTTTTTTTATCTTCATGGGTCATTCCCATCTTGATTCCCCGACAGCAGATATGATTTGCGGTTTACCTAAATTTGGTTTACGATGTTTATGTCTACTTCTATTTCTCGGCGTCTGTTCAGATTGGTCCACGCAGGGCGTCTATTGGAATTGGATTCCTCAGTGATATGAAATGATGTAACGAGTCCAAAGGTCCATTTCATGATTTTCAAGATCATCCTAGGCAGTGAGTAAGCGGCTGGAGTCTTGCTGTGCCGTTGGAGAGCATCAGAGGGATCTTGGATGCCAAGTCAGTAGTCTCTTTGTTAACTTTTTCCCAGGCCCAGTTCCCTATTTTCCAGTATATGAGCATACAAGAAATCAGCATCGAAATATAGGCAGCTCATGGATGAACAGCCGAGACACTAAGAGATGAGAGATAATGGAGCCAGCGGCTATCTATAGGCTATGAGACCTAACAAGGCGCACCTGCAGGAAGCAACATTAACACCCAACATCCTATACCTCTCTCTGCTTCTCCTCTTTTGCCCCTCTCCGCTGTATTTTATCAGCAATATGTATCCTCTCGATATCTTTATTGCTAGCTCGAGTTTTACTCCAGCAACGACCTATAGCATAAGGCGCCATGGCCTCGTTGCGGACAGTCCCTTAGCTATCACCGCTACAGAGTATCCTACAATAGCTTTCCCGTCCTAGTAAAGACCTAGCCTGTCCAGTTATAGATATGACCTCGCTGACCAGTCGCAGATATCTTCGCCGCCATCACAGCATGAGTATAGTAGATCGCTTTCATCCTTGCCATAGCGCTCCTTATGTTTCTTAGATTTAGGCCGGCGAGGATTATCGCAGGTCTGATGTGCCACTTTCTCTGCGAGAGGTTATTATTCCGTTTGAAATCATGCTAACCCCCTATTTGTAGGTCTTTGGCGGCTGCATTTCAGTCGTTTATGTATAGTGGATTTACCCCGGCGAGTAGCACTCTCGCAACTTTGACCAGTATGGCGATGCTAGTACACTCATGACTTACTCCGTTTCAATACGGAAGACATCTTAGAATACCGGAACATACATCCTTTAACCATGGAATCATTGCAGCTGTACCAAAGGCAAAAAGGGGAAAAAATAAAAATAAAAATAAAAATAAAAATAAAAATAAAAATCCACCGGAAATGGCGATTTCTAGCGGGGTGTGATGGATACGGGGGACACTTTGACCCGAATCTAGTCACGCGCAAGAAATATATTATATTATATGGGGGATTTCTCTTATCAGTCCGTAATGATTCATTGGAAGTTTCCTAATCTCCCCGCATTTGGAGGGGCAAGTACGCCATGACCCCAACCTTTAGAAAAGGTCTATGACATCCAAGGCTTCCAAGGTTTAGCTTGTGGCTGAGACTCGGCTTTCCCCCGGACTGGGAAAACGTGGGGTGAAATCATGCCGGACTGCCGTGTATTTCCCTCTGAGCGCTTCGTAATTTGACATCCTCCATCTCTTTGAAGTATTTAACCTGTTATCATTGACATGCCTGAAGAGGGTACATGCATGTTCCGCAATCCGCTCCGCAATCCTACAGCCACGATTCCATTGAGTTGCATTTGCATTAGGAATATGTCATATAAACGCTTTTATTCCGGAATCGACTATTTGAATCGTAAGCGTACCTCCGCCTTCGAGCGCTGGATCAGATTCAGAGGGAGACTACATCTTTTGTGATCTAGAGGAATCGAAAAATATATGTATATAACCTTGTACTTCCAGGGTTGGAACCGAATGGTTCCGGTTCGGATGGCAAAGTCGGCAATGTATCGGAGCATGTAAGCTTTTGCCTTTTGCCCTTGGAGTTCCAACTTCCTTTTTTCGGAAATTCCAAAGAGGAACAAAGTCACGATTACCCTCTACCCCAGGATCTGGTGATTTCTTGGGTTTTATTCTAGGGGAACGGAATATGCCGGGCAGAAATAGAATTTCCAAGATCCGGTAATTAAAAAGGGAGTGACTTTGCCATATTCGTGATTGGCGTCCCACTGGATCCGTTCTCAACCTTGCGAGGGACAAAATTCTCTTATTTCTTTCATGTTTCTCCATTGGAATTGGAATTCCCAGTTTGAGGCTTCTGAGAGCATGGCGTAATTGTGGTCATTTACATATTTTGAATGGAATGGACAGTAAAAAAGTAAAAGAAAAAGAAAAGAAAAAGAAAAAAGAAAGTATCGAGTACTCCATTGTAGGTATGTACTTCGAGAATGTTACATGCGTTTCTTCCGGAAATCGGCACTTTAGGTCCACGTGAGGGTTAACTCGGCAGGCCGTGTGAAATACGGTGCGGGATATACATCAATTCATTTGGGCCCATTCAGGGGCATCTCCACGGATTCCGGCTTGTTTGTCGTCATTATTTCGGCGCTTGGGTGTGGACGGTGGGTAGTGTAACACAATATGTGCAGTCCAATGTGAGAACTAAACAATGTAATCTGTAGCACAGAGTACTCCGTACAAAGCACAACATATATACATATTGTACAAAGTACATTCATTTAATTGTCTCACAGAAGAACGGTGTTCCACTTGTAGAAGGCCTAGACTTGAAGATTAATAATAATATAACAGAGCTGCGTCAAAATGGAGCCTTTAGGACCGTGCTATTACGTAGGTATCACCGGGTTATGATATTACATGTAAGGAATCAATGGAATTCTGTAACCATAGTTTTAGACATATACAAAGTAGTTCAACCCTACATTGATATATGTATATATTGTATATAGTCCAGTATGTACAACATATATGTTTAATTTGAAAATGCATTACTCATCGTTGCAGACGTTCAGCCACCTCAACAGGGCTAATCTCCCTCCACATGGGCTCCGCTTGTCGGAGACTGGAGAACTCTCTCCAGTCTTGGCTGAAAAGTCTGGGTCGGGGGAATGGTGCGAAAATCCTGGGAAAAAAAACTCCCCTTTTTCCAACGTTGACCCGCAATCTAGGATCTTCACGGGGTTTTATTTGATTTATTTTAGCTCAGTTTTTGTTGGTCGGTGTTTCTCGGAGGATGGGGCCCACTTTGAAAAGAGGGAATAAGAGTCAGAATATATCTCGTACGGAGTAAAAGGGAACATATATTAAGAGCTTCAATATGAATAGATTAAAATCCCATATTTATAAGATTACTAGCATGAGTACATAGCCGACTTAATATGAAGATATGACGACTTTAGGTGTATGTTGTTTGAAGAGAATGATATCATAGACCGATACACTTTCACATGGAGTCCCCAAAGACACGTAACGTGACCGGGCCGAGGGACAGTACAGACCAAACAGCGGCCAAACAAAGGCCAAACAAAGGCCGCAACGGTGTCCGAAAGTACCCCAGTTTGACGGCCTTAGCCCTGGGTTAGTGGCATATTACCTAACTGGGTAATCATGGCAATACATGTAATATGTGTAATACATGGGGGAAACGGTAATCTATCCCCCCTCAAACCTTGGCTGGTGGATTCAACCATGGTAAGAGAAACTGTGGGAACCTGGGGCATAACTTATTTTGGATTTCAATTTAAATAAAAAAAGGATTCCTCTCTATTTCTGCTTTGGACTTCTTTTTCCTTTTCTCTTCTTTTTCCCCCTTCACGTGTTAACATATCGTTCCCCTTTCAGTTCTCTATCACATGCTCAGTATCTCTATATAACTCGAATGTCCCCCATTCGCCCCCGGACGCAATAACACAACATGACTGATACCGAATCTGGGAAAAGAAAGGCCTCCGCGGCCGGACTCTCCGGTCATAACCGTCCCGTGAAGAGACGCGCCTCAAAAGCCTGCTGTTGTTGCCGTGCCCGTAAAGTGCGATGTGACGTGGTTGAGAATGGCTCTCCATGCACGAATTGCCGTTTAGATCAGGTTGAGTGTGTGGTCACAGAGAGTAAACGCAGAAAGTTCGTGGAATTGAAATTCAATTTTACCTCTGAGATTGACTGACATGGGGTCTAGGAAATCTCGCGTTGAAAGAGAGAACCACTCCGAATCTCCGGAGGCCTCAGAGGAGAATCCTTTCCATCGACTCGGTGATCTTTCAGGGTTGGCCGATTTGGTGCCGACGTCTCCCTCGCAGGCCTCGGTGGATTTTGACCAGGGCCAACATATGCCTCACCTGCTATGTTCGTCATTTCCCTCCGAATTGCCGAGGACTCCATTTGGCTGACATGCAAAAACAACAAAACAGATCAAAATCAGGCTCAACGCATCGGCACCGATGACCACTATCGACGCCGTATGGCCCCGAACCCAGCAGTTCCTGCTTCCATGCCATTGGCAAATGTGACCTCGCAAATCCAACAACTTTTAGACCCCAATTTTGGCAATACACGATCTGCCAGTGGGTTCCTACCGGATTACATTCGAGGACTCCCCGCACGGCTCCAGAAAGAGGATATTGACTACTTGGCTGTCAAGGGTGCCTTGACCATCCCCGACGTGACACTGCGGAACGAACTATTGAAGAGCTACATCCACTATGTTCACACCTATATGCCCTTGCTCGACTTGGAGGAGTTCTTGCAGAATATCGTCCAGAACGATGGGATCCACCGCATCAGTCTGTTGCTTTTCCAGGCCGTCATGTTCGCCGGTGTGGCCTTCATTGATATGAAGCATCTGCAGGCCGCCGGCTACCAGACCCGCAAAGTTGCCCGAAAGGTCTTCTTCCAACGTGCCCGTCTCCTCTATGATTTCGACTACGAGGTGGACCGCATCTCGCTCGTGCAGTCGCTTCTGCTCATGACCTACTGGTACGAGACTCCCGATGACCAGAAGGACACCTGGCATTGGATGGGTGTCAGTCTGTCTTTGGCCCACACGATTGGCCTACATCGGGATCCTGGAAACTCGCGGATGGATGTGCGTCGCCAACGCATGTGGAAGCGGATCTGGTGGAGCACTTACACCCGTGACCGACTGATTGCCTTGGGCATGCGACGGCCCATGCGTGTCAAGGATGACGATTGTGATGTGCCCATGCTAAGTCTCGATGATTTTGAATTCCACCCTTTCTCCCCCGAGATCGTGGCGATCGTTGGCAACTCGGAGATTCTCCAGAACGTGAGCCACCAGCGCGAGCTCGCATTGATGTTCATCGAGAAAGCGAAGCTCTGTCTCTGCGTCAGCCATGTATTATCTGCCCAGTACTCGGTCCTTAGCCATAAGTTTGGTGGCACCATGGAAACCACGATGATGCTCGTCCCGAAGAAATCCACTGCGGAGACCTTTGAGGTACGAAGTTGTGACCAGGAATTGGAGGACTGGCTGGCCAACCTCCCCGTAGAAACCCAATATGCAGCCTCTAGTGGATCGAAGCTATCTGAAGCAGACGAAGTGCTTCATTCCCACCGTGCCTTGTTGAAGATGGTCTATCTCACCACATCTAGCGCTCTGCACCGCCCACAAGTCCTCCCCGCCCTCCCCTACCCATCCACAGACGCCGAACTCCAAGACATGTCCCGGAACAAGGTGCGATTCGCCGCAGTCGAGATCACTGCCATCGCCCAGGACCTGCATTGCCTCGATCTGACCCGGTACTACCCCACCACCGGCGTCACAGTTCTCCTACCAGCAGTCATCATCCACCTCCTCGACATCAAGTCCACAGACCCAAGCATCCGCATGACCAGTCTCCAACGCTTCTATCAATGCATGCGCATCCTCCAGCGCCTGCGTGAGATTTACGCCTCTGCAGACTTCGCCACCTCCTTCCTTGAGGCCGCAATCCGCAAAGCAGGCATCCAGCTCACCGTCTCCCCCCAAGACGTCCAGTCTTCTTCCGCCTCATCACATCCCCCCGACCAACCTACCACATCCCCAGACCCCTTCCAATCGACCACCACTGCCGCTCCTTCCCGTCTGAACACCCTGACGCCCCCGCCGGATTCCCTTGCTCAGAAGATCCCGGACCTTACATACCCCAAACTCTCCGGTCCTTCCGCGGGCGGTCTGTCTACCGGAGACCTTTTCGCTTCGACGCCACCGCACTCCGACGGAAGCGAAAACGGCAGCACAAATAATCTCAATCCGAATGCCAACCGCAACAAGGATCGTGATGCCTTTGCTATGCCCTCTGAAATGAGTCTCACCGAACTCATGGATCTAGCGAATGATGCCGAGGTTACCCAGAATGACTTCGATGCCCTCATAAACTTTGACGATCCGGGCAATACCGATTTCTTTGCTGATGACAATGCCCAACAAAATTGTGCCCCGGCTCAGGAGAAGGGGTTTGATTTTGACGTTGATAACGTGAATATGATGGGCTTTGATACTGATACGAAGGCTGTTGATTTCGCCCATCTGGCGGACAACGGCATGCCCGAGCACGAGACTCTGAAGCTTTCAGACTGAATACCATATTCGAGAGCCAACTCGGGCTTAGCTACAGTCAGTCTCCGAGTTGTCAATACGAAGGACGGCTCTTCGTGTGCCCCGGGTATATTCTACTTATTCGAAGGTTGCACAGGCGAACGGCTCGGCACTAAAATTCATGCTGCATCCTGTATAGTTTCATTTTTCATTTTTCACTTTTTTCTTTCCTATACACAGTATATATTTATAATGATGATGATTATGACTGCGGATTATTCGTTTGCCCTTGAGTCTCCATAAAAATAGGATCCCAGAAATGGGTGGGTAGAGAGATATCTAGGAAATCTCCAAATAAGGTGTCAATGTCTGCAAACCCATCCTGCAAAGATATATCCAGATCGTCCACCGGAGGTTGGAGGACGTCCATTGCGATTTCTGGCGTCGGAGATACAGCTGCAATTCCATGGCCGTTATTGCGCTGCCTCTTGGCTCGGGGGGAATCATTGCCCTGGGGTGCGGAATTGATCGTCTCTAGCCCCTTTGATACCGAGCTGTCGGTGTTGACTGGTTTGTGCGAGGACTCTGCTACAAGAGGCGAACCCATAGGGTTTGTCCGAGAGGATTGTGGCTTGCCTTGAACCTGGCGCAGGGCTTTTTGGCCCAGCCGGGCCATCGCCTCGGCGGAATACCAGTAGGGACTAAGATTTTCTAGGACAGAACGGCAAGCCTCAAGACTAGCTTTCGCTCGGTCAAGGTGCGTAATAAGTCTGCTCGAGCGGAGTTGCCGGTACGAAACACCCATCGACAAGGTGACAGAGTATGGCACGATTGGGAGAGGTGGTAGGTCATGTGCACACTCCGATGCGACGATGGAGTGAATTCGAACAGCTGCTAGTCCTTGTCTGACCGATGAGAGCCTGGTGCTATCAATGTTCTCGGTGGGTTTATACCGACAGGACAAAATAGCAACAGAATGGTAATAAAGCTCCAAGAATCCTGCTCGCGGTTAGTTCGAAGTCCCGATAACGCAGCAAAGATGTCTATGATAGACATACCTAGGGTAGCAAAATCCAGATCACCCTGGGTGTCCTCCCCGACAATATCCTCAAATGCAGGGAAACCCTCTTCCCACCCACTGGTGGGTTCTGCGGAGGGTCGGTAGAACGAAATCACAGTTGCGAGCAGATCTGACACAGCAAGCCACACCTCAAAAGCCCCTCGTGATGCCTGAGCGCTGACATTGGGTTTCACGATCCCGATGTCGCGGTCAGCTAGAAGAACCGGCCGGCCACCGATACTTGCATGCATCTTGTCCAATGTCCATAGACACCAGAAGAGTTTAGTCAGGGAATCGGTGGAGGTTTGATTCGGCCGGCCAAGATGCAATCCTACCGTTTGGGCCTGGTGGATAGCTTGACAGAGGTGTGAAGACGCTGCCTCGGCCCCTTCAAGGCCCTCACAGTGCAAGGACATTAGTGCAAGAACGCGGATCCGTGTCAATCGATCCGGTTCTAGCTCTGCGTTCATAGCAACAACCAATCCCTTGTAAATCTCAGAACAGAATTGGCGTGACGGTATGATTGGGCCCCCTGCCACAAGGCGTAGGTGGGGATTGGCCGCTCGGGTCTTTGCTGCGGCGAGGCATATGGCTTTTTCAAGGAACACCGACGCCGAACCTTCTGATTGAGCTTGGCAAAACTCCTGGTCAACTATTGGCACAATGTGATTAACTTTGGAGAAGTAGATAGCGGACAAAGACTGGCGCGTCGCGAGGGGTAGTTGTTCGCATGCTTGCATCCCCGCGGTAAACTGTTGGTGAAGTAATGATGCAATGGTTTGGCCATCGATTGCCCTTTGTGCTGGGGGGTTGGCTACAGATTCTTCGGTTGTGGCTTGTCTTCTGTGTGCGCTGCGAGGCTTCGCTTTCTGCGCAGCTGGGGAGTTGATCCAGAGCCCAATATGATCCCGGAGAGGGCTCCCAGTCGGCTCATCTAATCTTTCCCGAATCAGGGATTCTGGATTGAGATCGCCCACAAATCGCTCGGTGGCAGGGACCGAAAACGAAGCTGGACTATCGGATGTTGTCTGCGCTCGGTCTATGTGCGCGGATACAAGAAGCTGTTCGCGATTCGAGTCATCTCTGTGGATGTGCCTCCCAGGGTCATCGTTCAACTGGGGTGGTGACTGTCGATTCAGATCATTGGAGGGCTCCCGGTTGGGGATTAAATGTCGGCACCGTTTCTGTTGCAATGTTAGATTGAGGATTGCTGTATTCAATGGTTCTCTCGTTTACGCACCTTTGATCGTTGGCATGTGGGACAAGCTCGCAAGGCTCGAGTGCGATTCCGCGACTGAGGGATATCCGGAAGCCAAGTGAGTTCCATCTAAGAAAACCATTTACGGAGGTGTAATTCTTTTAAAGAAAAAAAAAAGTATACCCTTACCTCTTACTTATTTTAGTTATCTAATTTCCTTAATATTCTTAGGGGTGTTGCTTAGATAGACCCTTTGGATAATCTCACGCTGCCTGAAAATTTAGTACCGCCTTCTTAATTGGGGTGGTTACATAAATTGACCTCTCTACACCGCCTTCCAATTTGGTATGCTTTTATGTCAAACAACCCATAGTTAACTAACCAGTTAACTAGTTAAAGATGGTAGGCTATTATAAAGCTTAGAAATGATCTTTATGAGGGACATTCTGGGCAGAAGAAGCAAAGATCGAGATAGGCTTATCGATAAGGAGCTTCCGACCTCGGGAGATCCCAAGATTCGAGCCAATGACGTCGGGAGCTTAATTAAGTTAACATCAGGCATTTTCTCTACACAGTCATACATAGACATATCAATGGATTTAAATGGATTTAAATAAACCATTAGCTAGTGCACATGATACAAATGGGTCTGCAATCGATCTGACATCCCATGAATGCGCTTAACCCTTTGAACTCCTTATCCCCTCGGCTGAAACAACATGGAAACAAACATAGCCAACACAGGACTCTTCTTGGCCAGGAAGATGACATGTATGCATGCAGGTGAAGAAACCTAAACTAGATTTGAAGAATTTTCTGCTGCTTCAGCCGCCACTAGGGCTTCAATAGCATCATCATCATCAAACTCATCAACCTTGCCAGGCTGGACTTTGACAACCTCAGTCTTGGCAGATTGAGGGGGCTCAACTGGCACCTTGTTGGTCAAAGCGGTTGAATTTTCCTTGTCGGAGACACAAGGAGCCAACAGAGGCTTCTTGGACGGTACTAAACTCCAGTCAATGATTTCGTCTTCTCCGTATCGCGAAGCAAGCCAATCATTGCACTTTTTGAAGTGTCCGTTTTTGAACTATATATCATCCTGTCAGCGAAGAAGGGGTTTAAAGGACAAGTCCATAGAGAATGATCTACCCACAAAGCCATTGTGCGCGCTCAGAGGACTGGGATGCACAGATTGTAGGATGCAATGCTTTTCCTTGTTGATCTTTGCCACTCTGGTTCCGGCAGGCCGGCCCCAAGCAAGAAAGACGACGCCGTTGGTTCGTACTCGAGCAACGAGGTCGATAACCTTTTGTGTGAATTTCTCCCAGCCCTTGTTGGAATGACTGTTGGCTTGGTGGGCACGAACGGTAAGGCAAGTGTTGAGCATCAGGATGCCACGCTCAGCCCAAGGTATGAGTAGCCCTCCGTTATCAGGCGGTGACTCGAAGTCAGGATAGTCGATCTTGATGCCCTTGTAGATATTGAGCAATGATGGCGGGGCTCGCACAGGAGCACGGACGGAGAAACATAGCCCATGAGCTTGGTTGTGATTGTGATACGGATCCTGGCCAATGATGACCACTTTGACGTTGTGCAGGGGGGTGTGTCGGGACCTACGATCGGATCAGCATACGGACTTGGCCCAAATAGAGGGTGGTCTAATTTACCAAGAATAGACATCCTCCTCTGGCGGAAAGACCTTGACATTGGAATCTTTCTCCTTCTTCAGGAATCGTTTCAAGTTCAAGAATTCAGTGCTGACCACTTCATCCTTCAAGTGAGCGAGCCAGCTCTCATCTAAGGTATCAATTTCCAACTGCAATAGTTCCTTTTGTTCTGGTGTCAGGGAAGCAACCCATTTTGCCTTATCAAAGCTGCTTGATCGTGGGGTTGAAGTTGATTGATTGCTCAGGGGTTTCGGCTTTGGAGCTCCAAAAAATGCAGTGATGCTTCCACCTTTGGGTTTTTTCGAGTCAGGGCCGGAGAGATGCTCCGATTTCCGTTTTATGGCAGGGCTGACCATGATGGATGGGTAAATACGAAGATAGATGGGGTTGATCACAGAACGTTGGAAGTTGTCGGGACCTCCAGGGCGATAAGAGATCGACGCGTTTAGAGATCGACGCGTGTCACGCGACGCGATTGATCAGCAAGGTTGAGCTTGGCTGAAATCGACGTTAGAATTTATAGAATTGACAAAATTGGTAAAATTATAGAATAATTTACTGATTTACGCTAGACCACTATAAATGGTCTTTGCGAACAACAAACTACGGGGAATAAATAGTATCGAATATAGTCCGAGTTCAGACAAAGAATACAACATATGAAGTTACACATTCAAAAACCAAGTAAGCGCTTAAAGCTCATCGTGAATATCCTTCTCATCGGATGCGGGAGACTCAGTGGCCTTGGGAGCTGCAGTGACCTCGGCACGCTCCTCGGGGGTCTTGGCACCATCGGCCAGGCCGTCCACCTGGTACTTGCCGTTCTCCTTGATGAAGGTAACGAGGTCCTCAACGGTACGGGAACCGGCGTACTCAATGGGGGAGTCCTTGGCACCAGCGGGGTAGAGCTTGATAGTGGGGAAGCCGGTGATGGAATCGGGCACATCGTTGGCTGTGGCGTCAACCTTGGCCACAGTGACCTTCTCATTCAACTCAGGGACATCGGCGTACAGCGCAGCAAGCTCCTCGTACTTGGGAGCAAGACTGGTGATAGTGAGTTAGAGATGCGACAAATGGCAGATGAGTTGTATGAAAACTTACGACTTGCAGTGTCCGCACCAGGGAGCGTAAAATTCGACCAGGACATCCTTCTCGTTGTCAATGACAACCTCCTGGTAGTTGCGACCAACAACAACAGTAACAGATCCCTCCTGAGTCTCGGGAATGGGCTCGGACTTAAGGCTAGGGTCAACCTTGCCGTCAAGGACGTCCTTGATGAACTTGCCGACATCCTTGGCATCAACCTTCTTGTTCTGGTCGTAAGGGTACTTAGCATTCTTGGTAGTGTCCTGGATAGCGAAAGCAGGGAACTTCTCGGGCTCAAGGTTGAGGTTGCCAGCGTGAGCGCCGAAGAGCTTAGCATCAAGGGTAACAATGTTGATAGCTCCACGGTGGTTCTCAGCGATGGGGCGGAAATCAGCAGCGAACTGCTCACGCTCTTCGGGAGTCTCAGCGAAGATGTAAGCCAGGGGAATACCGGCCTAATCATTGTAAAATGTCAGTTTACTTTCTTGCTCAAATGCGGGACAGAAGCTAGACATACCGCCATGTACTTTGAGTAAGTCTCAGGACCAAGCTCGCCAACAAGAGGAGTGCTAGCGGTCTTAACCCATTCAAGGATGGCCTCATCCTCCAGCTTTCCGTCGTACACAGCCTTCTTCTCATCGAAGTCCTTGTAGAGAACAATCGAGGGTTGCTTGGCACCCTCGGCCTTAGCGAGAGCTGCGTCGTTGGAGGCAGCGAAGAGGAAGTTGTCACGCTGGGATTCAGCGAACGAAGTGAAGCTCTCGTTGGCAGTCTTGTCATCAGAAGCCACGTATCCGATAATCACAATCTTGTCCAGGGCCTTGAATTCCTCCAGGTTCTCCTCGTTCACGTTCGAGACAGCGGGCATGGACTGCTTGGTCATGTATGAAACGATTCTATTGGAGCAACACATTAATTTCCAAAGGACAATAACCACAAAATTAGAATGACTTACGCGTCGGACTTGCGGGCACCAGCGTAGGGCTTGTGTGAGTCCGGACCACGGAAGACCTTCAGAGTAGGGTAGCCATCAACTTCGTAGGTTCGGCACAACTCCTCCTCCTCGGTGCAATCCACCTTGACCACAGGGATATCCTTGGCTTTCAGCTCTGTGGCAGCCTCTTCATACTTGGGGGCAAGGGCCTTGCAGTGACCGCACCAAGGCGCATAGAACTCAGCAAGCACCAAAGGGTGCTCCTTGACGAAGTCATCAAAGGTATCGGTTGTCAAAGTGACGACATTGGCGTCAGCGTCGGCAACTTCAGGCTCAGCAGCGTGAACTACAGCAGTAGCTCCAAGGAGGCTCAGAACGAGAGGGGCGAAAGACCGCATAATGAAGAGTCTTAAATCAAACAAAAGCCCAAAATGCTCAAGGTTGAATAAAAGAAAAGGCAAGCTTAAAAGGTCCAGAGAGGGAAGGTTTTATTGGGGGGGGGTGAGAGGGAATGGGAACTTGAGGACAGTTTGTTCAGTAAAGGTGGAGCTTTGTGACTGGACTATGCAGGGCTGCAAGGGCGGACCTTTTCCTTCAGGTACCTGGTACCTCGGCTACTAGGCCAATTTATAGGGAAATTGGAAGTACATGACACTTATTATAATAACTACATAGTTACCTATGTAGTTATAGTTACATATGTAGTAATAGTCTATAATGGTAACGGACACATGCCCTTGATATTTGACGCATATCTGCATTGTTGACAACTGGCCTTTATTTAACTATGTTGTATGTACGATATATCATATATCCCCTATTAAAACATCGTAAAACATCATGGAATCTATCGGAATACCCTGGTTTCCCTTCATATATTTACTTCGGAATAGTTCTGAGATGAAAAAGGACTAATTTACCAACATATAGACTCCTAAAATAAAAACAGAGCAATTCCCTTACTCGTCAACATCACAGTCAAACATACTCCGTACTTTAATCTTCACTCTTCAATCGAATCCCCTACGTTTTGACCAGTAAATATGGTCCCATACTCAGATCCTTGTGGTATGCCATTCAATTCCGCTCCCAACGCCAAGGCATCTCGTTTCCCACGGTCAACATCTACCAAAAGCATAAGGGGGAGTGGCACAATAATTAAAACCGCCAAGAACACAAACGCCGGTCGAATCTCACCGTAGCGATCCGTAATGGCGCCAACAATGGCTGGCCCAAAAATGCTAGACCCTTTGTCGGTAATTGCATAAAGCGCATAGAAAGCTGCTTCGTAACCTGGGGGAATGAGTTGCCCGAAGAAACTTCGACAATATGATGACAGTCCACCCATGACAAGGCCATAAACGGCCCCCAAAGGATACATTTCCCAAGGCTGATGGAGACCAAGCCCCATGCGTTGCACGACAGGAATGAATCCAAGAAGACCATACAGCGGAATGAGCTCAAACAGGATAATGCACGCAATGATTGTCTGCGAGGCTCGTAGGTTGAAGAAATTCGATATGTAGCTCCAAGAGAATGCACCGAAGACTCCTGCAAGCATGACGATCACATTGATCAGTCCCAGGGCAGCAGGCTTCATGTTCAGTTGGGTTTTGGCAAACAGTACAGCAGTACCACTGACAGTGGCAATTCCGTCACTGAGAAGGAACCAGGCAGCAAGGAATATCATGATATCTTTCAGTTGCCGCGCCCGCGTCACAGTTTTTCCAAGAGATTTCCAGGCATATGCCATGTACCCGATCCACGAATGGAGTGGTTTGCCATCACTGCCCAACAAAGGCGGGCCTGGCCGAGTGCGCAGCCACAAAGCTGCCGGGATGGTAAAAACAAACCACCATAGCCCAATCAAGAAAAGTACAAGGCGTAATGAGAATGTTGGTGGACGCACGACCACAACAACTAAAATAGAAAACACCTGTAGAATCACTGCCCCGATATAGCCTATACCGATACCATTGGATGAGATTCTAGTGGAGAGTTTAAGCTCCAGGGAAGTCATAGTGGCAGCGGACGTTTTTGTAGTATCCCTGTTAGGCCCGAGTAGCGGCGTAGAGTCGTCCACGTTTGTTCGGTCAATATCCCCGGTCGACGATAACAAAGGACCGCCCCTGGGGCTCGTCACATTATCATCTGACGGCGTCGGCTCTACACTTTCCTTGAGCGACGGGTGGTGGCGGACCAGAACAGGTAGAAACGAATTTAAAAGGACAAAAGACGCACCAAAGCAAGTATTTGAGATGATTGCAAGCAGCCCACCTAGGAGGTAAACTTTGGGGACCACAACCAAAAACAACATGGTCGCAATCGAGCCAATGAAAGCAAATACAACCAAGAGTTTCTTGCGATAGGTTCCATGATCAGCGGCCCCTGACATTGAAATTATGAGGACTGCCTGAACCAACACGCTCAATGAAAAGATATACAGGGCAAAGCTTGCCGTGTTGATTTCAGCACCGAGGAAGTAGATGATGCACTGACCGCCATCTGACACCTGGGGAAGATATACTGGTGTATCTGAGCCTGGTGGTGGCAGCGGGGGGCTCCAAGTTTCGCTGCATGGTGTGGTTTTGTCAGACAGCAGAACGCCCCGATCTCGAGCCAGCTGCTCCAGTGTTATCGGAAGAAATGAACCTTTCTCAGATCAGATGAAGTCTAGGATGAAGATTTCTGAAAGTAGAAGCACACGTACCCATGGCACAAACTACAAAGACCTCGGCCGCCCAGCCATAGCAATACCAGCCAGCAAGCTCCCTGTTGCTAGTCGGCCGGGTGTCATCGCCAGGATATTGAGGAAGAGACTCAACATTCTCCTGTATACTCATGGCTGGCGAGGGAAAGCCAAATTCATGGCAAGAAAAACGACGAAACAAGAAGGCATACAGTATTGTAAAGTGATAAAGCTCAATTTGAAAGTCACTTGGGTTAACAATGTCCAGGTGGTAGTGTTGGAGGGGTGATGGGACTGAAGAGGTGAAGTCATATAAAGGGTCAATGTTGACTTGCTGGGGGTGAGGGCTCTTACGAGGTATGGTATTGAGAAGTTACTGAGAACTTCAACTTCGGTATTAAATTGTACTATCGTGGTTGTAGCAGTACTTCCAATAATACATGGATTGATTACCATACTGACCAAAGTAATACAGCACAATACCAGGCATCAAGGCATTCAGGCATTCAGGCATTAAGGCATCATATGGAAGGCGGTAGGGTAACGCATGCAGTGCATCGCGCTTTCATCAAATCATCTTGGGCTTGAGATATTATTATTGACCCAGTCCTCTTCTGGGCACTCATTTTCTTCCTAAGTGCTTCTTC